AAGGTTACTGTTTCAAGCTTAGGACCATACCGCTGCTGTAACCCAGCCCCGATGCCCACGTCAGATGCATCGGTTGTAACCACCACAGGTAGCTCAGGATTAAACACCTGAATGACAGGCGAACAAGTCAGGCGCGTTTTCAACTGGTTAAAACTGCGTTGGGCATCCTCCGACCAGCAAAACTTTTGGCCCTGCCTGAGCATGAGACGAAGCGGTTCAACTAGGTCTGCATAGTGATCAATGAACTTGGCATAGTATCCTGCCAGACCTAAAAATGACTGTAAAGACTTAATGTCTGTAGGAGCTAGGGCATTTACTATAGCTTTTACTTTACTTTCTAACGGCGATATGCCATCCGGTGTCCCAAGAAGCTAAGTTCTTTCACGGAAAAAAATACATTTATCATTCAACTACATGCCACTGTTGGCTATGCAAGTCAAGACTTCAATTAGGCTCGCGTCATGCTCAGACTCAGTCTTACCCCACACAAGGACATCATCCAGATAGCAAATTACATTCTTGCAATCTTTCAAAATCTGGGACATCATTTTTTGAAAAACTGCAGGCGCGGACGCCAGACCGAAACAGACATGCTTAAACCTGAACAAGCCATCATGCGTGATGAACGTCGTTAAGTCCCTACTGCTCTCCTCTGACAACAACTGGTGATAAGCTGACGCTAAGTCTAGCTTAGAAAAACAAGTGACTCCATGAAACATCTGCAACAACCCTTCAACGTGCGCCAAAGGATACCCATCGAAGATAATTGCCTTATTCGGTTCCCTGAGATCTACACACAGCCGGATGCTTCCATTTTTCTTGCGGACGACGACGAACGGCGAGACCCACTCGGAAGCGTCGACGCGTTCGATGACATCCGAGTCCTCGAGTCGTCGCAACTCGGTCGCCACCTTATCGCGAAGAGCCAGAGGGAGACATTTCAGCTTGGATGCAACCGGAGTCACACCTGGCCGCCGTTGAATGCGATGAATGAAACCCTTGACGAGACGCAACTCGTCGCTGAAGAGCTGCTCGAAGCCCGAAGGCACGTTGGAGGGACACTGCACTTCACATGATGCGAGTCTACACGTCAACGACGCGCCGTCAATCTGGATGCCCAGTCGCTGAATGGCGTCAAGGCCCAAAAGCGATGTGCCCTTATCGGTGACGTAGAAGACCACGGAGCAAGACCGCTGCAACACTTTGACTGGAGCCTGGAAGGAGCTAAGGATCCCGATGCGCTGCTTGGAGAAGTTTCGCAAGTCGACTACAGCTTTGGACTGACTGTGCTGTTTGCTGAAATGACGCTGAAAGTCTACTGCAGTCATCAAGGATACAGACGCTCCTGTATCCACCAGTAGTCGCAGGGTAACACCATCGACCACAGCGTGGACGACTAAGTTTTTTTTGGATAACTGTGAGCACGGACAACAAAGGACGATCCGAAGGTAACACTGATGAGCTTGAAGTTGAGTTCAACTGAGTGGAGGCCTGCTGCTCTGGTACCACGTCTACAGCTCTCCTCGAAGAGACGCGCTGTACAGGGCAGTCTTGCGGCACATCGACGCGAAATGTCCCCAAGCGTTGCACGTATTGTAACGTCGACTTCCGGCTGGACAATTTCGAAAACTTGAGTGGTGCCGTCTGCTTCCGCAGCGGTCGCCCAATTGAGGTTGGAAGTCGCCTTGAGACTTCTCATTTGGGACTGGAGCACGGTACCCCGACGACGACTGCGGCTGAAAGTCGCCATCTTGGCCTCCCGGACCTGGTGACGTGACGTGACGGCCTCCCCGACTGGCGCGGCCATTTTTTCTCTTCGCGCCGCCATATTGGGAGGCTTGCCCAACGGCTTCGACATGTTCAGGTTGACTGGGAGCAAACGCTTGGTTCGCCAATGCTTCGAGCGTCCGACCGACTTTTTCCGCTTTCTCCAAGAACAACTTTTCGCCGTATGCCAGCAGCTTTTCTCTCACCCGCAAGTTGGACGAGCCGTGAATAATCTGATCGCGGACGCGTTCCGCGTACGTGAGCCCAAACTTGCATCGTACGGCTTTCTCCTTCAGGACTGTCACGTAGTCGAGGAAACTCTCACCGGGGAGTTGACGACGACTAGTGAACTCGTGACGTTCAACTAGCGGATTAGTGGACGCGGCGAAAAGCCGGTCGAGCTGCTTGACGAGACTGTCATACTTTGTAACGGCCGGAGCCGAAGAATCTGGGTCAGACGCCGGTGTAGTTGGCGCTGCGTTGCTCAAAGTAGACGCCGCATTGCTCGTCTCGTGTCGGGCTTCTTCCTGTTCGGCTGCCGCGAAATACCTCCGCTGTCCTTCCCCTCCCAGCAGGCTGACGAGCGCCGACGCGCGTCGTTCCAGTCGCTGCCGCCGGCCGCCTCGAGGTGGGCCTGAAACAATTTTTTCCAATCAGTCCACGGAACCGGGGGCGGCCCCGGCAGCTGGAGGAAGACAGGAAGGTACTCGAAGAGAGCCATGCTGACAGGAGAGGTAGTTCAGAGAGGTGTGGAGCGGAGAAACGGCGAAGGCCTAGGCGAGAGCTTGCCAGAGTCTGCACACAAAGAGCGCTAGGCCTCGCGGACGCCAGACAGGACAGAAACAGGCGGGAGTAACAGGAAACTCACGGGTTCTTTCTGCCGTGGTAGGAACCGAGGCGAAGAACATCCTCGTCGCCATGTTGTTGTGTCGGCGAGGGCCCGACGACTGAACGCGAGACGCAACGTGCGCCGGCACGCGCCCCTGACACACGCAGTAGAAGTGAGTTGACCGGAGCCCGCGGAAGCCCAACAAAGACTGAGCCGGCCAGCGGCCGTTTATTGACACACAACTGACACGCGGACACACGTGATTGGCTGCATGCAATCACGTGTGTGTAAAGTTCCTGAAAAATAAACTAAGGTAGCGCCATGCGTGTCAATGTGCAGACTCCTCTCCCCTCGCGTGCATTGCAGATAGTAAATGACGCTAGTTGAGGGGCTGTATGGCTCCTGGCCGCAAATATGAGCTTGTGCTCATGTTTCTGTTAAAGCGCATCTGGGCGCTGCGGTTCTAGGCGATGCACCGAAAGAGTGATTGAGAAAGAAAAATAATATAAAAAGTAACGTTAAATACGACGATGTGACGTGTATATAAGCAAGTGGCATGCAGTGGCAAAAGACATCACCGCAAGCAGGCAATACTCAACGCGATAGCCCTCCGTTTGCATGCAGACGCGCTCAGCGGTGTCACTCTCGATGGCAGCGCTACTGCTGTCCGTGTGAGAAACTCGGCGGTGCTAAGAATCTGCAACATGACGCACTAGCCTTTGTGAAGGTATCGCAAACGCCATTTTGTTTGTCCACTTTCGCGGTGTTTGTGGCTAGGCGTGCGCGCTTGGTATTGTTGTGTAGCCGGAGTTCGACCGCGCGTGAGTGTGTGCACGGTAATCCTGCACGTTTCGGGATGCCGACCTGCTGTGCCAGCGGTTGCAAAAGTGGGTACAGCAGAGGAAAGAAGCTATTTTTGCTTCCGCGAGGAAAAGACAATGCCGCTCGGCAAGAAGTGTGGCTCCAGCGTATCGGAAGGACTGACTTAGACCCTGTATCGTCGCGGCTTTGTGAGGTGAGTACCGGTGAGCTAAACTCTATCGTTTCGCTTGTATTTGTGTTTACAGTGTTGCGGTACTGTCAAGCTCGAGCATCACACAAAGAGAGTAACCGTGTAGATGGTAAACGGGCATGCCAGTTGAAACGCGTGCCGCGTTTAGTGCCGTGTAAACGTTGCGTCTCTGGCTTGATCCATGCCGACCGCGGCGGCTGCATTTTCGATTGAGGCGGAAATGTTGGGGCGTGTGTACTTAGCATTATATGCACGTTATTGAATACCAGGCGGTCGAAATTTCCGTAGCCCTCCAAAAGGGTGCCCCTCAATCAAATTGTGGTTTTAGAACGTTAAACGCCAGATATTATTATTATTACTCGTTTGATCCAGAAATAATCGTCGACTATGTTACAAAGTAAATGTAATGGATACATTCAAGTGCTAAACTAAACTTTGTTTATTGGCCGACGTATAGTTAAATGACTCCCGCGTGTATGTGTGTATGGGTGTAAGGACTTTATGTGTAAAGGCGTGGGCAGCGACCTGAATGTCGCATCATTTCGTTTAAGCATGTGCTCCAGCGCGCTCAGTATTCAGAATCTCTGTGGTTGAAATAAGGACACGCAAGGCTAAATGGTGCGTATTTCTACATACTGTACGCACCGTGTGCTAGTCTGGTGGGAAGAGAATGTGGCAAACAGTGCGTAGTCGTGTACGTGTTGACACTAAAGGTTATTTTAGTTTCTTTTAGAGCGTGCTGTTTCATTGTGTAACAGTAGCCGCGAATATTTCCTTACCTAGGACCACTTCACTGCGGAACAATTCGAGCCGATACTGCTGCGCAAGTTTGGTACTAAAAAGTTGAAAAGAGACGCGGCGCCTACGATCTTCAGTCAAGAGCATTTGCAAACGTCAGGTAAGCCAATCGCGTTAAAAAACTGGAGAATGTTTAGTCCGTCTTCATTGTTTTCTGCATCACCCATAATTACTTCTCAGCCTTTCACTAACCTGAAACATGTCGTCTTGCATATAGGTGTTGTGCACTGTTTGTGTATAGCTAATGGCTTTTTTTTGTTTAATTAATGCATTTTTTTTTTCATTCTCCAGAATGCAATGATTCAGCCCGCTCATCTTGTGGCCTTAATCTACTACTAACAGCAGCTGCTCTTGTTGATGGTGAGTTGACGGTTAAGCACATCTCACGCCTTTTCCCTCTTCGTTATCATTAATACATGTTTGGATTATGCAGAAGCCAGAGACACACTGCCCATCAGCTACGAATGTGCTTCTGACACCAGCTGCTGTTAATGGTCAGTTCTTACTGCATTAATTACTTACCGTAATTACAAACGTGCTTTATGCCTTCATTGATGTTTTATCATTTGCAGGCTATGGAGCCAACAGTGATGCTACTCAAGCAGGGTTAGGTTCTTCACAAGGTAATGTAGCTAACACACATGCTGCATGTAGTCGAATCATTGTAACGGCTTGTTCAGCACATTGCAAGCATTGAAAGCATTGTCGCTTGGGTTTCGGCATGCGTTCTTATTAGTGAAAAATTGTAATGCACCTGTGCGTATTGTAAATGCTTCAAGTAGTGTTGATGCTTGTTTGCCAAAATGCGATGTAACAGAGATGATGGTCTTCTTCAATTTATCTTTATCTTTTTTAGGTCACACTGCCACTGATTCAGCACCATCGGATTTTCCAGAAGGTAATGGCAGTGACATGTTGCTTTGAAATTTCACATAATATATTGTTGAACTCATGTTGCAGATGCACCTTCAAGTTCCGAATGTGACGCACTGCCAGCTTGTTCAACAGCTTGTTCAGCAGGTGAGTGCTACTTTTCATGATTTGTATAGGCATGTGTCTACCAGATGGTTTTGTTGGTTTCAACTATCATATGTGTGCAGGTGTGGAAACCACCCATGAATCGAGCTGCCAGCCATTTCAAGCTTTGACGGTGCCTGTTGAGTGTGAGTGAAATTTCTGTTCAGTATCATATACATTTTTTTTTAATTTTAGTCACTGGCCATTCCTCATTGCCTGCGCTGCAACTGTGCTAATTTAAAGCTTTGGTGACTGTACCGGTCTTCAGTACTACTAATAAGATTATCCGTCATTTACAGCTCAGCAGAACTTTTGTGCTGCCTGTGGAGGATTTCTGTCTGCTGAGGGCACAGCTGATGTCACCGGTAAGTGTTCAGTGCTACTGCTCTCACACACTATGCAATATACACGAGTGTGACACATCGCCACCTACAGGAAATCACGTGCACGCTCATAACAGATTGATATATTGGTGCATTTATTAGTGCGGATGCGCTCCAAGTACTGGTGCCCCGTTTTGTTTCTTTTGCTGGTATGCTCATTCTTGTAAAGCGACAATAGTCGCACACAACGTAAGTTTATTAGAGGAACATGTAAGCTGTGTTTTGTGTACAGTAATGCATAGCACACTGCTACACACTGCGCAACATCATCACACTATCACTTGTGACATGCAATCAGCTGCCGTCTTGTAGCAACTCTGTCAAAAAAAGCTACAACAGTGGAACCATGGCACTCTCCCCACTTTGTTTGAAATAGCCACCGCCATTGATAACCCTACGTCATAACCGAGAGTACGTGCCATATATTCATGTCTTTACTCATTACTAACTATTGGCATATCTAGGAGGTGGTACACCGGACACTTGCTGCTCCCAAAATGTCTTTCTACCTTCACACGCAGAGTACAAAGTGAGACGTGACCACACTTGACTGTCCTGCCCCTATTTCGGATCAAGGACACGCCCCCACCAAAAAGTAGTTCAGCTGCATGCATTGCGGGTTCTGCGCAGCTCCATTTGTCCCTCTTCATTGAGCAACAGTGTCAGCTTATGCTGTTTGTTAAAACCACTGTTGTGTTCTCAAAAAGTTACGCTTACACTTTTCTGCTGAATAATATGAAGTGGCACTGATTTTTTTTTGTTTCTTTAAGTCGTTATGGTTCTCCCTCACATGCTAGTCTGGGTTAAATAGTGAAATTTTCAAACTCTTGTCACTTCCTGCTCAATCTGTGCTTTGCAGGCTCCATTTCAAGTAGTTGGGATGCTGATCAAGCAGTAGTAGCTGCCCTTCACAAAAGAATAGCTACATTGAAAGAGTGCTTGAACAACATGAAGCGGAAAGTTGCTACACTGCAACAACAGAAAAGCAGAGCAAACCGTAAAAACCATGAACTCACGCGAAACACCAAGAAGTACCTGTCACCAGATCAACTGCAAGGCATGTGGACTTCCAGTATGCGAAGGAAGCAATGGTCTACTGAGACTATACAGAAAGGCCTCAAGCTCCGTTTGGCATGTGGATCCAGAGGCTACAATGCGGTCAGGGAGCGTGCTGTACCCCTTCCGAGTGAAAGAACTTTACAACGTCGTGTTGAAAACTACAAGTTCTCACCAGGAATTCTACATGAGGTTCTGAAGTCCCTTGCTTTAAAGGTGAAAGGGTGGTGTAGCTGAATATACTTGTTACATTTATTCTCGTGAGCATCTCTTTCAGCAGTACACCTTGAGCAAAAGGTGAAACCTTTTCCAGAGCCTTCTACTATGGCATGTCTCATGATCGTATCATGGTTTTCGCACGTAAACCCTAATATATATTAAACTTTCATGTGTTACTAGTGCCAGTGTTAGTGCCTGTCACTGCGCTCTTTGTCGTGCACGTTTTAACGGCCATTCATAAAGTTTCCACAACATATTCTCACCTTTTCTTCACTTATGACTTTAGGTCCTCTAACTAGGCACAATTCCACATAAATTTCAATAGGTGATAATCTTCTTGCATGCAAACATCGAAATACAGCTTGCACTGTGCACTGCCTGTTTATTCTTGAAAAGCATCGTATTTTAAATGTCTTTATTGATGCCTTTGTTGCCTAATGCATGTTGCATATTTCAGATAACCACCATGAAGGAGCATGCGAGGCATGCATTTCTGATGCTCGATGAAATTCAGTTGAGCTCAGGGCTTGCGTTTGACCACACGACTGGCACTGTTATTGGAAGGCCAACTTTACCTTTGGCCGATGGTTCTCTGCCACATGCTGCAATGGCAACGCATGGACTTGTTTTCATGCTGGGTGGGGTTACACAAAGATGAAAGCAGACAGTTGCTTATCATTTTACTGGAAACTCGTTCAGCAGTGCTGCAGTTCAAGAACAGTTGATTGAAATTATTCAGGAATGTGAAACAATCGGGGTTCGTATAGATGCAGTCGTTAGCGACATGGGTGGTGGGAATATGGCGCTCTGGAGAGAGTTTGGCATAGTTGTGGGAAAGCATTCTGTGTCAAGAGTTTCTTGTTGTCATCCTGTTGACCAAAATCGCAAGCTTTATTTTATGGCAGACACCACACATTTGCTAAAGAACTTGAGGAACCACCTCACACGTGGTCAATCGATTTTGCTTCCCGAAAATGTGGTCGAAAAGCACAAGCTGCCTTCGAATGAGGTTAACCTTGTGCCGATTCAGAAGCTGGTAGAAAGAGACTCTGAACTGCAATTAAACATAGCATCGCACTTGAAACCATCCTTCTTGGACCCAGGACACTATGAGAAAATGAAAGTTGGGCCTGCATTTTCGTTGCTAAATCACGATACTGCAGCTGCACTACGTTTCCTGGTCCAAAGGGGACATTTGCCCCGAGAAGCGTTGACAACAGCATGGTTCATAGAAACCATTTATAGGTGGTTCAAAGTACTGACATCACGTACAACGAAGCTTGGCATCAGCAAGTTAAATTATCAGAAATATGAGGACTCACTGATTTTTTAAAGGATATGGTAACTCTTTTTACAGATCTGAAGATAGGCTCTCCATCGAAACACGTGTGGAAGCCTGTGCAGACGGGCATAATTTTGGTGTGTAAAGTTGCATTGGAACTGCAGCATTATTATCTTATAGAGAAGGGCTTCTTTTTTGTTTTGCTCAGCCGATTTGCCCAAGATGCTTTTGAGAATATGTTCTCCACTCTGAGGGCGAAGAAGGCAGTACCAAAAGCTCTTCAATTTCGTAGTGCTATTCGAGCTGCTACTTTGGCACAGTTCTTTCGGCCCAGTAGAAGTGGAAGCTATGCTATCGACGATGCTCCTTCCCTAGTTGGCATCGAAAATTGCCACGCAAGAGCTCCTAACAGCAATGATACAGAAGCTGTTGAATATCCCAGTGATCTTCTCGACATAAGCATGATGGAGCATGAGTCTTATTTAACTTGCTGGGTTTGTGGTAAAGAGTGTTGCAAAGCGCACATGGATTTGTGAGCAGTGCAAAACTGCCACAGTGTCGAACGAAGCTAGTGTGCTCACAAAGTTAAAATCCTACACTGATGACAGCAAGCTCGTACCACCAGGCCCAGCAGTACTTCATTTACTCGAAACAGCTGAGAATATGTTTAGAGTGAATAGCAACGAGCTTCTGTGCAATGAAGTTACGATTGCTCAACTTGTGGCCACCACTAACGACAGTGTGCAAGCTGTCAATTGTTTTCGACCTTGCCACAACATTCAGGAGAGGTTGCTGAGAGCATTTTTTAAAACCAGAATTAACATTCTTCTGCGGAAAGAGAATATGCGTTTGGCAGCTGATGAAGCTAAGGATGCAAAAACTGGTAGTCGTAGAAATGGAAAGCAGGCTGCTACAACCAATGTAAAATAGTGTGTATGCCTCATTTCTTTCGTGTTTTCCTTCCATTTTTTTATGATGCATATGTGGTATGGCCTCTTAACCTAGTCTGTAGGTACAGTACTCACGGATTGAAATGCAGGAATTATGGTCTCAGTAACGCACATACTTTTGTTGACACTGCGTTAAGTTCGGGTCATATTGGTGTGATTTCGACTAGAACGTGTATATCAGAGCCAAAATTATTCTTAGAGACTATATTTATCACGACATGACGTGGTTATTTCGAGCAGGTGTGCATACCAGTTATCCCCAAAAAATTGATGTTGCGTTTGAATCCCCAAGTACCATACATGAGGAACTGCAATGTTTTGTCCTATTGTGATTTGATTTCAACAGTAATTACTTATCTTTGATCCGTACAGTTCAGAGCAGATGTTTTCAGTTGCCGTCATAATGTCACTGAAATTTCTAACACGTTTGCCCTGTTTGTTTCAGTGTGTACATTTTGGTCCTTTATAAGCAGTTCCCTTTAAGTAGCTTGGGTGGTGTCTCGATCTCATTTACGTTGTAATTCTGTGTGACTAGAGTTCTTGATGAGAAGCTTTGTTAACTAAGCTAAGCCTATTTTTAATATTCTGTGTCAAGTGTCCCTGTTTTTCATTATGTTTCTCGTCACTCGGGAAATTTGTTTACTTTCTGCCTTGGTGGTTTACCGCCTTAAATTTCTGCTTCAGATGTCAGTGTAGTAATGGTTTTATTCATTGCCTCTGTGTCTGTTTTCTCGTTTTTCCTCTCTTTGCTTTGCATTTCTAGCCAAAAGCAATTCTAAGCTCGTGTATTTTTATTTTGACTTCTGCTAGGTTGGCCTTTGGCTGATTTTCCTCTTGTTGTCTTGAGGCTGAAGCTATTGTTGCCCTATGATTTTACAGCTTTGCACTTGTTGTTGAGGGCAATTATAAGCTCGTGTGTTTTTATTCCAACTACATCTGGGTTGGCCTCTATTTTAGTGGCTAATTTCGCTCTTCTTCTCTTCAGATAAAGCTGTTGTTACCGTCACTAGTCTATGATTAGGCCCGTGGTTTTGCTGTGCCTATTACATCTGTTTATTATGTCTTTTACATGTATGTCCTGTTTCATGGCTACATATCTGCATAATGTTTTGCATATCCCCAGTAGGGGCTTTCCATGTCTACTTCCTATTCCTGTGCTTTCAAAAGTTCAATATGTGTACTTCATTTCATTCGCTAAATTCCACATGTGGAGTGGTAATCTTGATAAAGGTGTTTGGCACAAATTGCGTCCACTTGTCGCTAGTTGTGAGTGCACCACGAATGCCATCGCTTTTCTTTACTCTTGTCATTGTGATGTTCACGTATTGCAACAAGTCACCATTAACACATATTTCATGTCATTTATTGTGTACACTGCATAATTATCATGTATGATTGAGGCAGTCCTGCATTTTCATGAAATGTTGAATAAATGTCATGTTTTGTGCCCTTCATTCAGTTTTTGCATAAAATCAG